AGCTGATATTACATTTCACGATTGCGCTCATTTAATCATTTTGATCCAGAATTTTTTTCATTATCTCGGTGTATGTCTAGAAGCATTTTGTGTCTGTCCTACAAGTGTTTTTATGAGCCGTTCCACAACTACAGGCCGCTGAATTAGACAGCAAACGGCTAGAGACAAAATCCACTGTTATAATCTGTTGTTTTACACTTTCATCATTAATACTGCTGTATCTACAATAACTACAAACATAAGATGAGGAACACTTTATTTTAAGGTGATGTTATTATTACCCTTGTTACATGTACATGCTATAGTAAATGATGCATAATTACCTAAGCCAAACCTCAACCCTAACCCTATATAGTAAGTATATGTAGTTAATGTAACTCAGTACTTGCTTGTGTAATTACATTGTAATAATCACCTTAATATAAAGTGTAACCCAAGGTGATTATTAAAAATATATGTCAATGATTTCACTGTGTGGCGTTAACTGCATCTGAGGTCAAAAGTGATGATTTGCATGTAAATTGATTTTTTTCTCAAACGGTCTATCATGCCATGACAGAACGAGACAAAAATGTAATAAAGCTTCATTTTAGTTGTGTCTACTACATGTTCCTCTGAATACTACTTGTTAAAAACACTGTTTTTTTTTTTTTGTTGCTTAGGGTCAGTAGACTTCTATAAAGTTAGTCATGCTGGAATGATAATAATATTTTCAGAATAAATTAGAATGTCATAAAAAGCATGCATGGAAGATAACCATATCCAGACATTTGCGTGTACAATAGTATACGCTGACAAATAGAATGCCTACATGACATCTTCGACATGCTTGCATGTTTTATTCACTTGAGGGATGCAATGTGTTACAATGTTGGACTCCTGAATAAAAAACTTAAATTAATGTGGTTGCGAAGTATGTCTTCCATGTTTTATTTGCGATTTTTCCTCAGAAAGAACAAAACTAGGTCTTCAACAGAAGACAGCAATGTCTGACAATGACGCACAGTTGTTGTTTTTTCATTGGGCATCTGTTTGTATTTCTATTGTAACTTATTTTTCATAATGTATTTGGACACCTAAGCCAAACATATCATTGCATTAGATAACAAAATATTACATTAAATTGCATTGTTGTTTTTTCAATAGCACAATTTTCAAGCAAACTATTTGATGAGTTAAATTAAATAATATTATAATAGATCTACTGTTCAAATGAAGAATAGAAATATTTGGATGCTTTTAGGTTGTCAGGCAAGTTAATGTGATAAGCTATACCTGTGGTTTCATTTGCTAAGACACCTGTGTAACCTTAAGGGGAAATTACTTCATGCAGCCACTCAATAGCATTTTAAAGCCAGGGTATACATTTGACAGACTGTCATCCAAATCAACATAGATTACATTCGAATACATTTTATCAGGTTCATGCATCCCCTGGGAATCAAACCTATGACCTTGCCATTACTAACACTGTGTTTAATCTATAGGAATCAGAAAAGATAAGAGCAAAGCTCTAGCAGCATTTTGTTCGCAGATGCCACTTGCTTTTATATTTTGATGTTATATTTGTTATTATATCTAATGCAATTACAGTTTTTAAGTCTGACTTTTGTGGGCAATGTATAGAAAAAGAATTGGATAAACTGCAATTAATGTGGATGGATTTTCATTAGTAAAACTAGGTAGAAGTGAGGATGTTGTCTGTTAAAATAAATAATTAATTGCTGTTATGCGCATAAGTTGTCCTCAGTTTTTGTTTCCTGCACAGACAGTATCAAACTAATAATAGAGAAATATCGGCATTCCGTACCTGCAAATTTTTTTAATTAAGGCCTACTCATTATGCGATATATTCTACTATGTTTAACATAAAAATACATATAATATAAAAGTAAAATCGTTTAATTTTGTAAATTATGTTTTATGTAGGTTAAGAAAAATTGCTGCTTGTTTACCGTTACTTAAATGTGCACATTTTTTACTTTTATAATGGTTTCTCAGTAACCTCATATGAATTAAATTCAATGTCGCAAATACAAAAAGGCATTTACAAAAAGTATCCAATTTGACTGATTCAGTGTAACCTTGTAAACATTTAATGTATCACAAAACTGTTAAAACTTCAAAAACATTCTGCTTATCACACAAAACTACAAAACACTAAAACTGAACAATACATAAAGTCTTTGGATTAATCTTCATCCAGTTTTCAAGAGTCAACCTTGTCTACAACAAATAATTTTAAATATTCAATTAACGGTCCATATTGAGGCCTTGGCCTACAGAACAGATAGACTTAAACACAATAATAAAACATAATAGGCTATCTGTTAATATTCTGCATTAAGAAGGCTAACGTTTTCAAATCTTTCACGTCTACAGCAATAAGAGTAATAAGACGTACTCTACAAACATTACCAAATGCAAAAACATTATAAGAATAAAATTTTGCATTAAAATATCTGAAAAACAATACCAAATATTTATATGTAAATACCAGTACACCTAAAAATCTCTTTTCAAATGGTTATTCATGTTATTAGGAATTAAACTTTTTATCATTCAATGCCATTATTACTACAAACAGAAATCAGAAACGTCAGTTCGGCATCTGAAACATATGCGCAAAACTTCACGCTACAATGGAGTATTAAAAATGAATATAGGACCATGATTGTACTGATCAAAACAAGCTGTTTGTAAGCATCACACAAACTTACAAACACATCTCCATCACTGTCAGTTTGTTTGGAATATTTTATAGCTCACTATTTGTATCAGACATTTAGCTGAAGACAAAACACTTTACAGTAGGCTATATGAGAAAACAAAGACATTCAGTCTGGCCAATAACAAAATGCAGTATGGTTTGTGTTTGTCATAATAACAGAACAATACTTACAGTTGTGATGAGATGAGTGTGTGTTCTGTTCAGGGTCTCAGAACTACACTGACATTTTCTTCCAAACACACTCTGTCATACACACACGACAGGAAACTGTAACGTGATTTGCGTAGCTCTACGCTCATGTGTCTGTGGTATATTATGCCTTTGTTTTTACTCTGACAGTTAAGTACTATTTACTTCTATAGCCGATCAGTGTCACACAATTTATCACACTAACGGCCTTCCCTCTGCATCAGATAGCTTTTTTTAAAGCTCCTTTCTCTTGCATTACTGTCTTTGTCTTTCTAAATAATGCATTTTATGTTATCCTAAACTCAAAAAAGGTACAAAACAAATACCCTTTCAAAAGGTATTAAAGGGTTTATTCACCAAAAATTAAAAAATTCTGTCAAAAAGAATTTGCACACAAAAAGAACACTTTTTTGTGTGCAAAGAAAACAAAAATAATGACTTTATTCGACAATTTCTTCCCTTCCGGGTCAGTCTTGTTGACGAGAGTACCACAGTGCATGCGTGTGCATTCCTTTGCTTGTAAACAAGACGCAGCGCATCTGGGTTCTACGTTAGAACACCGGTGACAGCAGTACCACACGCATGCGGAGACTGATGCGGAACAGAAAAAATTGTTGATTAAAATCATTATTTTTGTTTTCTTTGTGCACAAATAGTATTCTTGTAGCTTCACACTTACTGTTGAACCACTGATGTCACATGGACTGTTTTAGCAATGTCCTTACTACCTTTCTGGGCCGTTTGAACGTTTTGGTTGTGTTGCTGTAAATGCAGGGTCAGAAAGCTCTCGGATCTTCATTTGTGTTCCGAAGATGAACAAAGGTCTTACAGGTTTGGAACAACATGAGGGTGAGTAATTAATCACAACATTTTCATTTTTGGGTGATCTAACTGTAACACAGTTTGTAGATCGGGAAAAAGGAGGCGGGAACTGGCGAACATTTAAACAAAACTTTAATAATAAAATAAACACAAAACAGCGCGACAGCCCCTCGGGGATGACTGACAAACAGAACCAAAACACAAAATAAAGTCCAGGCCTGGTCCTCTCTCGTCTTGCACTGTCGTCACTCCTCCTTTTATCCTTCCGGAGCTCCTCCGTGGGACTTGAGACCGGTGAGTGGCGCAGGTGTCGTGCATTAGCATTTACTCCACCGGCCTGACTCCGTTCCCACGACTCTCGGCCCCGCCCCCACTCGTCACATTAACCCTTTAATACGTACACTTTAGGTACTAATATGTACTTTTAAAGTATAAATATGTACATTTAAGGTACTAATATGTACAATTTAAGGGTAAATATACACAAATATATAAAACATATATAAAACAAATATAAAAAATACACTCGTTTTCATCCTTCTCTCCACTCTCTGAGGCAGAAGTCTCTAAACTCATCCTTTCCAATCATCCTACTACTTGTCCGCTTGATCCTATTCCATCTCATCTCCTTCAAGCCATTTCTCCTGCTGTTGTACCTGCACTCACTCACATCGTTAACACATCCCTTCACACTGGTGTTTTTCCCTCAACATTAACCAGGCTCGTATAACCCCACTTCTTAAGAAACCCACTCTTAACCCAACTCTTTTAGAGAACTACAGACCGGTTTCCCTTCTACCTTTCATTGCAAAAACACTTGAACGAGTTGTGTTCAACCAAGTCTCAGCCTTTCTCACACAGAACAACCTCCTGGACAGCAACCAATCTGGCTTCAGAAGTGGACATTCCACCGAGACTGCCTTGCTTTCAGTTGTTGAAGCCCTAAGACTGGCAAGAGCAGCTTCCAGATCTTCTATACTTATTTTGCTGGATCTGTCTGCTGTTTTTGATATGGTGAACCACCAGATTCTCCTGTCAACACTATTGGAAAATGGCATCTCAGGAACCGCACGCCAGTGGTTTGAGTCTTACCTCTCAGATAGGTCCTTCAACTAAAAACACATCTCTTCCATCTTTATTTGACCCTCTAACTCTAGCACTTTCTATTCTATTTTAATTCTACTTTATTTACATTTATCTTCTTTTTTTATTATTTATATTTTTCTATTCTATTTTTTCTATTCTATCTACCTGTTTTTCTTTGTGTGTGTGTGTGTGTGTTTATGTGTGTGTATAATATATATATATATATACACCTTGCTACGTGTACTGCATTAGGCTAACCGAGACTTGTCATTTGCACTTATATATTGTTGCTCTTTTGTTAGTTTTGACTGCTTTTATTGTCCTCATTTGTAAGTCGCTTTGGATAAAAGCATCTGCTAAATGACTAAATGTAAATGTAAATGTAAATAAGATACAAAGATGTACCTTTCAGCAGTGAGAGCATTGCACCTTTTTTGAGAAACTTTTGTTGTCAAAATCTGATTAAAGTTTTTCATAAGGTAGTATTCTTTCAAATTGCTGCACATGAAAAAATAAACATGCAATGTTTTCTGTTTGTTTTGATGTCTGTGAACAGTTGTGCAAGTATGGACACCTGTGAACTACAACAATTCCAGCTGCACCAGTTTCTGCTCATTAAAAATACACAAAATACACACAGCAGCCACACATGCAGAAGCATGTTAAAAGAAAATTTAAATTGTATTAAAAAAAAAAAAAAAAACATTCAACAATCTTGTCATTCAAAAAGTACAGTTGTGAAAACATATTATAGACTCTGCAACAGAATTTGTTTTAAATGTAAAGTAAACCACATATTCATCGCCCATTTCTACAGCAAATCTTGAAAAGTGCATGTCTTATTTGGCATCATTAAGCAAGAAGCACATTTAAAAGCACAGGCCCAGCATGGTATGTTTTTTTAGCCGTCTTGCGCTCTGCTCCTCTCAGTTGGTATGGTTTGGGCCTGCTGTACGTGTGTTGCGGTGTTGTCTGGGAACTGGAAGTGGCCTCGCTTGCTCTTCCAACTCCACTTCTTTCTCAGCTCTAAAAAAACAAATGCTGTAAGACTTCTATAACACTGTAGCAGTTACTATAGTGCATTTATGCTTTATACTTAAACTTATATGAACTGTTAACTACCAATTAGGAAATAAACAAATGTTGTGCCCCAGAATACATAAGAAATGTGACCCTGGACCACAAAACCAGTCATAAGGGTCAATTTTGTTTAAATTTATATTTATACATCATCTGAAAGCTGAATAAATAAGCTTTCCACTGATGTATGGTTTGTTAGGATAGGACAATATTTGGCCGAGATACAACTATTTGAAAATCTGGAATCTGAGGGTGCAAAAAAATCTAAATACTGAGAAAATCGCCTTTAAAGTTGTCCAAATTAAGTTCTTAGCAATGCATATTACTAATCAAAAATTTAGTTTTGATATATTTACGGTAGGAAATTTACAAAATATCTTCATGGAACATGGTCTTTACTTAATATCCTAATGATTTTTGGCATAAAAGAAAAATCGATAATTTTGACCCATACAATGTTTTTTTGGCTATTGCTAAAAATATACCCAAGCGACTTAAGACTGGTTTTGTGGTCCAGGGTCACAAATATGGACTGTGTAAATATAACATCCCGACATTTATCCATTTTGACATTACCAGTAAATATACAATATGGTGTAAACACCTGTATTCTGTCTAAAACTGATAAATGGCAGATCTTAAAACTCAAAAAATGCAATGCTGCATTCTAATGTACAGTATTAAAAAGGCAAAGGCAATCTAAATGTAAAAATAGGGAAACAACCACAAACATTTAAATATCCAACACCGACCAATACTGAAAAATTACAAATAAGGTCAAATTAAATTAATTTTAACAGAATATATAATGCAAATACAACATTAGATAGGCCTATCTTATTTTGGGTTAACATTTAGATTTTTTTAACTATCCCTTCAAGTCAATATAAAAGCTGTACAAACTTAAGACTGACTGTAACTAATACTAGTATCACTGTATTACACAGAGAAATGGAAGTGGAGGAAGTACCTGCTGCACTGGCAGTAGTCTTTGTCTGTAAGAGGCTGCCGCATGGATCTCAGCTTCCTCACCCTCTTCTACGTAAGAAAAAAAAAAAAACCACACAACATTAAATGAGCCACTTCCTTTCTTGCTTGCTTGTTTTCTTTCTCTCACCTTCATCCGTTTGTTCCTTTGTATGACAACACCAATCACGATGATAAGTCCGATCAGAAACACAGAACTGGCTCCCACAGCAATCCAGATCCACAGCTTTAGACCATACACTTCCTTGGTCAAGGATTCCATAACTGCATTTGGTTTCCCTTTCCTTTTAGTGGACCCGTTTCCACCTGTTCAGTAATCATTATAACAGAGACTGAATCTGGGGTTTTGCTTAGTGCACATAAAAGGGCCTCATTTCTACTGTAGAATAAGATTCATGCTTCTAGGGATGCAGTGATAATAAAATTCTGACAGATACCAATATTTATTTTCATGTTATGGCTGATAACCGATAAATGGCTGATATTATACTTTTCTGTCAAATTAAAAATAACACAAAAGATCTAATTTAAACATCTAATTTGTTAATGTAAAGTATGAAAAAATATATTTATTATTTTAAATATTATCTTTAAGTGAGAGTTAGATGACAGCTACCATAATCTAAATGTAAATATAGGGTAAATGAGCATACACAATTAAATGTCCAATATCAATATGTATATACACAGTACTGACTAATCTCTAACATCTGCAAATAAATGATAAGGTTCTGATAAAAAGTGTGCATCCCAAGTGTTGTTTTGTTTTACCTGAATGTTTGTCCACAACCCTCAAAGTCGTCTCGACACTTAGACGCACCTCACCGTCGAACTCCACTGTACACACAAACGTCCCTTCATCAGTGCTCTGCACCTGAGAGAATATGAGGGGAAATTACTGTCAACATACAAAAAAAAGATTATTTTTTTGGTATGGATTATTCCATGAAGAATCTTTAACATCCATGGAAACTTTTCAGTTGCACAAATAGTTCTTTATACAGGAAAAGCATTCTTTAGATGATTAAAAACAGTGTAAAGTATTCACATTTTTCAACGTGACATCAAAGTTGGTGCTGAGTTGCCCAGTAGTAAAGTTGACTTTTGATAAATCCTTGCCATTCCAGTGTAAGATTTTGCTTGGTGTGTTCGTCAGGGTTGGGAAAGAGACTTTGGGAAGGTGGCCAGCCTTCCATGTCCCACCCACAACACGCTGAAATACACTCTGAGGAAGAGAACAGGGCAGCTCTATGTCATCCCCTTTAGAAGCATTAACAGCTGTGGTCTGGAGACCTGTTGGAGACCCAGACAAATGTCACTGACAGCATGAAATGTGAAGCATTATAGTAATAAAAAACACTCATTCTGAATAACAACTACTAAGGGGCCCCAACCAACAACAGTCAATGTTACACTGAGCTTCAAGTCATCCTTGACTAGACACGTCCACTGGCCTGCTTCATTTGAAGTCACAGACTTCAGGTGAATTACTTGATTTTTTTCATTATATGTTTGACCATTAGGTCTCAGCCACTGTACTTCCTTGTTTGGGTCTCCTGTAATGTCACAGTGCAGCTCTGCATCACTAGACTGCAGCAGCACTGGGCCTGGTTTAACAAAGACTGAAAGAGAAATGGGAGTAAATATGAAAAATGCAATAATTATAAAAATAAATAAGTACAAACATTAAAAAAATGACAAGCACTACTTTCGTCTCTCACCTGACACAACATGGACTATGTGTTGTTTCCCTGACTGCCTACAGAAATAGTTTCCAGAGTCTCTTGTCTCCAGTCTAGGAACCTTCAAAATGTCTCCAGATGCACTTGCTTTTAACACAATATGGGAAAGACCTTTAAAAATAAAAATAAATTACAGTGACTACTCACAAAATTTCATATTCAAATAATTTTTGGATTGAAAGGAGAAGAACTGATACCCTTCCGTCTATTCCCACTTTTGCCATCAATGGTTAAGATCAACACGCCGTTAAATTTCCATTCTATATTACTGTTTGAATCCACTCCACACTTCATGGAAACCTCATCCCCGACTTGCTTATAAAACACATCACATTTCCCACACCATATACACAGTGCTGAAGGAGAGAAGGATGGAGAGCAAGGAGGGTTAAACACAGCAAGACAAAGAAAGCTCTACAGTCAAAGTATAGACTGCTTAAAATAAAATGTATAGTACAGCTTAGAATAATACAATGCACTTTATGAATTTATTTATGCTTACCAAGAAGAAAAAAGAGGATCTTGCAAATTGCCATTCTGTTCCTTTTTCTAAAAAAATATAGTCAATGAAAATGAGTTTCTTTTTAAATAAAAAGCCTGGAGTTATATTAAGATTTATTTTCGGTGAGAAAACCCTAACTAATTTATTTTTGTTCATAAAAAGAGGCTCATGCTTTTACAAAGAAAAAAAGAGCAAACAGGAAAAAGCATATGTGACTATGAGCCACAAACGCAACTCACTTAAGTCATTTTGTTTCGTTTTCATTCGTTTCGTTTGGTCTAGAAATATTCATAATTTAAACTGATTAAATTCGAATAATCTGAAATAAATGAAAAATTAAAATGACTTTTAAGCTAAACAAACTACCAGCAAAATATAGAATGCCTCCAGATTGTAGGCTACACATAGGCCTACTTAAAAAACACACAATGAAAATGTTTACTGTATTTTTTAATCAAAGCTTTAATGTACTTCTAATGTATATTAATATACGCAAGATTCCCTTAGTATTTGTAGTGCAAATGAGCATTTCTATTTGGATATGCAATAATATTACAGATTATTGTCATTAAAGGATAGGATGACAAATTTTCATAAATCCTGCAAAAATCATGTGATTATAGGCAATTATAATCTAAAAATGTGTATTTGTCGTTTACTTCCAACTCTTAACATTAGCCATTTTAAATTAAAAAAAAAAAATGCAAGTCAGTCGATAGACATATGATTAGCCTACATATTTAATATTGAAAACACAATAAAGTCAACGAAAAGATAAAACATGAGTATCATGGCTTCAGATCGAGTGTTAAAGAAAATATTCTTTTGGTTGTTAAATACCTCGAGCAGCAAAAATCAATCATTCTGCTGGTGCTTATCTTTTTATCTTGATTTTCCGTTTTTATTTAAGAAACCATTCGCTTATGCAAGTTAGGTTTTTTTTTTTTTTATAGCTGAACACTCTTCTTTTCATACTCACGTTTGGATGCTGTTTTATGTTGTTGACAAAGTTTGAGGTAAGTTCTGCGCATTTAGTCCAACTGGTAAAAACTAGCGTGTGCGGGAAACCAGCCGACACAAAAACCTGAACCTGCACAAGAAACTGAAATGAGGTATGAGAGCGGAAGAAAGCAAAAAAAATTGTTTGGAGAGAAACAACCAATGTAGGGCAGAAAACGCCTCTCACATGCACTTCACTCTGGGAAATCCTTGAAATAAGGTTAGATTTGAGAATTAAGTTTATAAAAAGGGTCATAATAACGTAATATACAAATAAATTAATAAAAATAAATAATCGATGTCAGCATTTGCATATTAATACAAGTATTGGCTTCTTAGTACAGTCAACGTTTATAAAACCCACAGGACTTTGGCCACTAAACTAATTTACTTACCAAAGCTTATCAGCAGTGAAACATCACGAGGCTTTAACTTTCCGTTGTTAACTAGATAAATTACCAAATGTGATTCGTGTTCTTTATACACTTAGAAGAGTTTCATGCTTTTACGTTTATCAATACTCTTTCCACTTTCAGTATTGCCAGTGCATTCACATATGTTACTTTCTGTCATTTGGCAGAAAATTCCTTTATACACATCCATAAACAATACACAGAGTCAGAAGCAGCAAAGAGACACTTTTTTATTATTTTAAAGCAAAAAGAACAAAAGGAATTCTTTCCTCTCGCCAAAAAAGAGAACAAAACCCGCCAAAAAAGAGAACAAAACCTAAGGAAAAAAAGGTGAAACTGCACAATACCTTTTGCATTCATTTTTTAAATTTAAAATTCCAATATTTAATATTTAGCTGTTTTTTGTGATTTAGTGACATTTACTTGCCATTAAACATTTGCAGAAACATTCTGGAACACATAAAGGAAGGAAGGTGGAGTTTAGCTCTAAAAGCGATGATGTCACAATAGACACTATCCAATCAGGGGGCGGCATGAAGGAGTATAGTGTGTGTGTGGTAATCTATAATATATAGATCAGTGGTGGTAAGGCGTTGTAGCCTACAACATGGACGTTTTGAGTAAGAACACTCTAATCCTCACATCTTACATCTCATTTTTTTTCCTTCTGTCATTATTACGCCTGGGTTCTCTTAGTAGTGAATATATTTGATGGAGAAGTGCTTTGACTTATTAAATGATGCATCAGTTTAGAAGCAGGAGTCTGGGCCTACTGTTTCAGTAGATCAGACACAGATGAGTGTATGTGTGTGTGTGTGTGAGAGAGAGAGAGAGCGAGAGAGAGAGGAAAATGCTATTCTAGTTTACTCTATTCCACCACTCTTCAGTAAAAGTATACCGGTAGCCCAGGTCCTTAGGTGGTCCTTAGGCACAAACTTTTCGATCATTAAAGGGGTCATATGATGCTTTTTAAAAGATCATTATTTT